AGATGTGCAAAATGCCACACGGAGCCTGCTCCCATATAGGTCAGTTCACCGATGCGGGGGCCCCACTTGGCCTTATGCTCTGAACGATTCTAAGATTTCGATTCTTGATGAACAGGACCAACTTGTAAAAAATTGCCAAATGTGAACATAGTCAGCCGAAGTCAGCCGAAGGTGCATCTCCCAGCAGCCAGTCCACTCGGAGCTCATCCAAGCCTAGTCAAGTGCAGAAAGAGAATTACAAGGTCACGATTCGTCACGATCGCTGAACAAATCTGCTTTTGTTCTGGTCTTCAATTGGTCGACTCTGTTTTTGTCTCGTCATTTGTCTGCAAGGGAAGCAAATGAAGGGACATGTGACACACAGCCACTGCGCTTTCATTGCGAACTTGAGAAACAAAAAACTCAAACAACTCCACCAAGAAAGAAGCGTCTCAAGTTCTTGGGACTTTGCCTGCCGCTTGGCAGAGACGCTCTGATGCATCTGGCACGGCAAGTCATGCAAAGAGAAGTGGAAGAGCTTTCTTCTCAGACCAAGAAAGTGAGATTTGAACAGGAATCTGAAAGCTCTTCCAGAGCCTTTTCATTTTCTTGTCATGCAACTCTTTCTGCCTCTTGCTATTACAACATTCCTACGTTGAAAAGTTCTGGTGTTCTGTGCTGAACCATGAATCGTTGTTTCTGTTCGCTTCTCACCTCGTATGAAGAACCAACTTGAGGCCAAAGCCTGAGAGAACATCTCGGGAAAATGGGCAGGTGGAATGAGCATCGCAAAAGATGGAACATCATGAATCGTAGCAAACATAGCACTTATGTGGCTAGCCATGTAGGAAAAACCAAAGATTAACTGTGCATCCATTGAACCTTTCATGAACTTTCGTGACCTGAAGAGTCTTAACACATCTTAACCCATCTTAACACATCTTGCATAACACTGTTTGCAGGTTGTACATGTTTGCACATGTTTGCACAAAATCCACATTCGACTTGTAGATCGACGGAGCCGTTTTCCCGTGGCCCGTACTTCCTGCAAGCCAACCAGGAGCTGTGGTGGCAAACTCCGACCATAGCAGCGATCCAAACTTTTGCAACGCACCTGGACAACGAAAATTAAACGAAACAACTGGATACAACTGGATTGAAGATGACTGAAAAGAACTGAAAAGAACTGGATAACTGTCAATTACTTCAGTTCGATTTGAGACTTCAGTTGTTTCTCTTCAAGCATTCTTTTCACTTCTTCGAATTTTTAATTCAAAGAGTGCTCGCAGTTTGACTGAAGTACTAGCACCAATTTAATTCATGCCAAGACCGCTTGCTCTATCTTTTGGCTGCTTTCTCGCTGCAGAAATGCGCTAATGGATCCATGGTTCACATTGGAAATATTGGAACCACACTACCAAACAGGATAAAACTCATGAAACTGACTCGTGAAAAGTAGTTGAAAACAAATTTGAACAAATTTGAACAAACCTGACTTGAACACTTATGATACTTATGATTTAAGTCTGGAAACCTGGACCGTCCTGGACCTAGAGTCTTCCTGGAGAACTCCGGCGCACCTGTCCCCTGGCCACCAGGTCCTCCATGGGATGATCCAAAACACAGAACGAGAACCGAGAACGACTGGGGAAACTGCAAATATCTGCAAATATCTGGAAATATTTGCAAATACACCAAGTAATCCAAGTAATCCAAGTAGAAAGAAAACGCAAATGCGCCAAATGCGGTGGTGCGTTTCACATCCTACGCCCTTGTCATTCGGCGTACTGCTTTAACTCTGTCCCACCTGGCTGTCCCACATCTGGATAACACCATTCCAAGCCACCTAGCAGCGAAGTGATAAACAAGTGATAAACTAGATTTTTGATGATTCTGCAATTCTTGAAGCTCAATGAGCAGTTCACATACTGCCAGGCGTCCAGCATTCCCAAGATTCCCAAGAGACATTGCTTCTGGCACTGTGATGTCTATTGCCTGTCACCTAAAATTTGCCTCGCAGTGAACTTTCATCCCCAAAACCAAGTGGCCAGCAGTCCGATGATTGACGCCCAAAATCTTAGATCATTAAGCTTGATGATCTTCAAATGTCTTCAGATACAGCACATACCAGGAGCTGAACCTCCCTAAACCTCCCTAAACCTCCCTTATATCTTCCCACTTCGGGAATGCACTGGGCTCCCAAACCCACAGCGGCTGCGGATGAGTGTTTAGTGTAGCACCCACCAATCGGCCAAAGAGGACTTGCACCTTGAGCTCCTTAGCGTCAGATTAGCGTCAGATTAGCGTCAGATCATCTTGGATCATCTCATCCTTTTGATCCAGCTTTGGATCTAAAGACTTTACAGCCTTACAGTGCCTTACAGTGCCTTACAGTGCCTTACAGCAGATTTTGGTGCTATTTGTTTCTAAACGAATTTTCCAACGCAGAATGATCAGAATGTTCCAATTTTTCTATATTTTTCTCACCTTCAAACATCAAACTTCGCTTTGGTCTGCTGAGTTGCCATGGGGGCTGCGCGGCTTCGGGGACCAGTCTGACGGTCGACCTTTGGTAAACAATGGACAAACAAAGATATCAAAGAATCATAAAGAATAACAATGGGATATCATGGGGAATTTCATTCAACTGTTCAACTAGGTTTCGGCATAGGATGAAAAAGAAGCAAATCGGTGAAAAAACAGTCTGCACGCCAACGAAGTCAACGATGATCCAGTGTCACAGTTGTGTCACTATGCATGTCCTTGGCTTTCGCACTGCAATGGAATACATGGGTTGCAGCACAGCTCCGCGAGGCACTTGTGAAAGTTGCCAGCACTCCTGGTTGTCTGATGAAGCTTTTATTCTCAAATTTTGGCCGCAAGGCTGTCGCATCCCCACTTCAATTCACACCAAACACGCAAATCATTTTGAGCGTCTGAAGGGAAAGGCTTTTTGATGAACTCATCTCAGCTCTCAATAATCTCGATACGAGTCGATACGTGCAGAGCCTTTTCCCATGATCTGTCTTCGCCCACCAAAGCAGCCTGCCGTACAGGTACGCAAGGAGTTGAAGTTTGTGTGAACCCACAGGTGTTAAAGTTTAAGTGCCAGAAAGATCCAAAAAGTGCTATAATCAACTACAATAATCAAGATTAATCAAGTGTGTGCATGCCCAACACAGCTAGAGTACTAAATGTATGTTTTGAAAGGGAAAAAAAACGAAAACATCGTCTCAACATGTCTCAACTTGCCCAATGTGGACTCGGCGCCAGGATGCCTCGATGCTTTGAAACAGTTCCTCTTGTTTGGTCTCTTCAGGCGAAGGCCAGAAAAAAATGAAGCAACTGTTCGCACCTCGATCGATAAACACGTGCGGACAGAAGCAATGAAAAAGTGACAGACTCTCTGAAGCAGTTGAACACAGTCACAAAGAAATGCTCTCCGAACTTTGTATTGTATGTTTAGGTTCATTGTGCATTGCCCTCCAATTTCTCAAATGTAGTAATTTTTGGCCAAGAAACCATGTCGTGGTTTTATCACGACGGGCCTCAAATCAGAGGCAAAGCGCAAGGAACCCAAGATGAGTTGTGAACCAATTCACGTGCCTCAAATGAAACGCACAGAACTCAACTGTGCAGCACCAAAGCCAAGAGAAGACAGCGAAACAGTTTACAATGGCAACATTTTACTGAATGTTTGAACACATTCAATATCATTCAATAAGCACTACATATTCCATCCGTTTAGCTTGGCTGCGTGCTGATTTTCCCTTGCACACTCCTGCAGAGACGTGGACAATGAAACAATTGTCGAACAATTGAAACAAAACGGTTCAAATCCGACTTTTAAGCTGGAATGGATTTGACTGGTCGCACTTGGGCTCTCACCAAGGATTTTCTGACAGTTTTGTCAAGGAGATGGGTCCAAATTTAATGTACAATCCATTTTTCGTTAAGGTCCTGAGCCCAAGAATTTGCGTCTTGGCTCGAAAGCAATGCAAGCATGGTCAAGCACGAAAATTTAAGAGGGCAGACAGGGATCGAAATATGACTTTTCTCGGAACCGTGGCCACCGTGGCCTTTGAAACTCAAGTTCAGCACCCTTTGATCATCTTTGATCATCTTTGATTATCTTTGATCCATGACTGTGGTGGTGGGGTCGCTCCAGCAAGGTTTGCTTCATCTTCTCCAAGCCCACTGGATCATCAGCAGCATGCGCCAGCAATGGTAGGTGTAAAGGCTCACAATCCTAAGCTCAATGCCATCAACAAGGACGGGCAGGTCACGGCAGGTCTCCATTAGTCAATGCACCAGGTCTAATGCAGGTTCTATGCATTGTACTTATGCCATGCATCATTGGATACGTTTTCGATCGTGCAAGGCTAACAAATATAACAAATTGTAACAATTTAAATCAAATAATATATATATAAATAAACTGCAGTCTGCATTGCATTGGAGGATCACGAAAGTGCTGACAAATGCCGAATCACACACAGATTACATCCAAAGCTTCCAGCAGTTCTGCTGTTCGGTGCACTTGAGCAACCTGGCGACGGTGCAGACGGTGCAGACGGTGCAAGCTTCAGGAGTCAATGAGCTGCCCATCCGAGCCTTGTCATCGAGCCAAATCAGTTCAGCTCGTCTGGTCTTCCAGGACTGGCCGATGCGGTGATACCTGGAACACGAGTAAAAGGCACGGCGCACAGCCGGTGCACAGCCGGTGCACAGCCGGTGCACACTCAAGAACAATGCAAGAACAAATGCTTTTTCGAAAAAAACAAATATCAGAAGCGTGCGTCGAGTCCAAGGCACATCATTGCATCCCAAGTATCGTCCCGGCACTCGGGTTGGGAAACCTGTGCTTTTGGAGACCATGTCAACATGTCAACATGTCAACATCATGTCAACTTTTCAATCACATCATGTTGCTGTTTCAATCGGTTTTCAATCGGTTTGAATCGATTGCTGCATTTTGCCACGGGAATTTGCCTGGTGGCACAGCTCCAGCAGCTCCGGAGTAGGCTCACAAGCATCCTTACGGCGTGAAACAAATACACCACGGGACATGGTGGAGACAAAATCTCTAAACATGCCATTTCAGTGCTTGATGTGGAACTCCATGTCTATAATCTATATACATCTACAGAAATCGATATAGAACGATATATAAGATCTATATAAATCTAACATAATCTAACATATCTATAATTTATCGATCATTTGTCTTTCATTTTCTTCTAATTTCGTCGGAGCGCCAAGCCTGGAGCTTGTAGCATTTTGCTGCGTAAATCGCGAGAAGCAAATCTTCTTCGATGTGCTGTACAGCTTCCTGGCGCTGATCGAGATCCCTCGAAATCACAGATTCATCATGATTCCAACCGAACACCGAGTAGACCGAGTCCTCATAGGGAAGCTGAACAAGAGTGCCAGGTGCACCTGGAATCTGTCACCCTCTGTCACCCTCTGTCTTCCTGTTGAGACTACAAAATCTTTCAACATTGATGGATTCTGATCCAAGCTACACCATCTGTCTTTCACGTCTCTGAGAAAAGCGCCACTGAAGTTTGCGACGTGAGAACACCATACGCTCCGCACCTGCAGATCTTGAACTTTGACTGCCAGTATTGACAGTTCTACTTGATGCTACCTGGACCTGTATATTTCTTGATGTTCATGACTCATTGTACGTCTATCTATCAAAGCACCTGCTGTATTGTGGGATGGAAGGACAGAGTGGCGAAACGCACTTCCCAAATGTTCGAACACAAATGAGGGTGCGGTGTCTGCTGCCTGTACGTCATCTGCCATTTCATGGCGCTGCACGGTCAAGGAGCGCGAAGTGATCGCATGTTAAAAGACTTACAAGCTCTCATTGGTGGGCCTGAAGAAATTCCGTGTATAATTCTTAAGCGATAGAAGCAGCAAAAACAAGACAGCTCCGTTTGCAGAACAACATCCAGCTGCAAACGTCTGGTGTTTGCAATGCAACCAAATGCACCCATGGACATGTCCACATGTCTTTTGGATTCTTTTGGCTTCTATTGCTCTGCAAGCACACTACTTTGCTTCAGAGATCTGCGATTCTGTGCAGTGCATCGCCTTGCGGCATAAAATTCGTACCGATGCAGTTCGACAGCCATTGTCGAAGCGTCGACAGCTGCGAGTATTGCGCGGATGATGCAGGGCAAGACTTTGCACGGGGCTGCATCTTGTAGACTTTGTAGATTGATTGATTATGATTCATTATTGTAATCTGATGTAATTTGCACCAGTCTGCAAATTTCATGCTCAGTAATTGCTTCTCTTTGCTTGCGCTTGCCTGGTCTGTACATTTTTCATCATTCTTCATAGGTTTGTCTATGCAATGGTTGACTGTACGCCTGGGCATCCAACCATGCACAACCCATAAGGTGTGGGTCAAACGGCTTCTGCTTCTCGCCTTGCCGGATCCAAACATCGACAGAGTGGTGGGTATGGTGGGTAATGTTTGAACGCTCTGTCGTGAAGTGGGCTACGAGGTCGCTTCTTTCAGAGAGTGAACGTGACATCGAAGTACATCAAACATATTCAAACATGAGTGAACCCTCTGAACCCTCTGAACCCTCTGCACCCTATTCTGAATGTGGCCTTTGCTCGATTCTCTGTAGGAGGTGGCGGCAAAGGAGCAGGTGTCTTGAAGTTGTACCTGGAAAAACGGAGTGTTCGGAAAGATAAATCTAACAGTAGTTGCGAAACTGTTTCTTTTGGCTGTTGCAACTCCAACCAATCGTTTGCTGTTAGCTTGTGCTCTCTGTCTGGCTGTCTTGGATGGTTTGATCTCAGCCGAAGCTTCGAAGCTTAATTTTTCAGAGTCGGGGGAGAGCACTTCTTCTGAGGTGCGACAACAAATGGCCTTCCCGACGATCACGTGTAGCATCACTCAGGACTTGGACATGCTGAGTTTGCCATCTTGCCACACCTCCATGGCAAATCTTGCGTCGGATTCACGAAGAGATTGCGGAAGATGACGTGCACAGGAAGGATCTCGGTGAGTTTTTGGATTAACACATTCCGCTGCGCAAGTTTCACTCTGTATCCAAACACAAAGTGAAAATTATTGAAAATCACTTCCTTAGCTTGCACTGAACCTTAGGAATCAGCCATCAGCCATGGCTTGCCACTCTTAATGGCAAAATCCAAGGCAAATGAAAAGTGCCTGGATGTTGCAACGAAACGATCCCGACAAGACATCAAATTTGGAAGGTATCAGAAGTCACTTGAGATACTTTTTACGCAGTACCAATTTTTTGCGCAAACTTTTTGCACAACAAGCAGGTAGTAGAATGACAAGCAGGCCAGAAAATCTCATCCGCTGAAAATGGCGGATTTGTCAGCAACACGTCGAAGGGCGGAACTGGCAGCAACGATCGACACGCATCAAAACATCAAACATCCCGCAATCAACAACTCTACCAATGCTCAAACAAACAGGATCCACGCACACACACACACACTACAAAGCAAGCTTGGAAATTCGTCTCTGGGTTAAATGAGTCAGCAAAAAACAGGGGCAGCTACGGTAGCTACGGATATCGCTAAACATCTGCCTTGATCCCACCATATGAATAATATGAGCAATGAAGCTCTGCCAGAGCCTTGCCCAGCTTCACAAACTTTGTAAAAATCCTGGTTCTCGTTGTGCACACGCCTAAAATCGACAAAGACTCACAATTCACTACGGCTACGGCACTAGAGATACCAAGCCCCAAAGGGAATTTTAGAGCATGCAATGAGACAATGACACTGTTCTGTTCATAACCATTAATAATCTTGATTCCTTGATCATCAACAATTACTTCTCTGGCAGTCACACTGAAACACCTCATGCACACCTCCGGCCTCACCCTGTAACAAAGTATCAGAATTTTGCCTGAAGATAGAGTGGCCTTTCTGGTTACCATTCTGTCTGCTGCTCGTCCGTCAGGTGCTGTGGCGTCTACGTCTTTCATCTTCCGGCGCCAAAACGACTGAGCTGGGCACTCAAAACCCAGCCGCAGCAACCGAGTCTTCACACCACCCTGGCAGTAGTACCTGAAGCTTTGGATAGCTGTGGTTTGTTTAATGTTAGCCGTGTTAGTCCCTTTTCAGGACTCGCTCGACATTCGCTACCCAAAGAATATGATGCAACATTCAGGCCCTACCAAAATCAAATGAGGAATTGCAGTTGACGGGATGGGCAGAAAGTTGCCTTTCATGGCAGTACATATGTACACGTATGTACAAACACATCTTCCAAATTATGCCAAGTATATAAAGACAACCAATCAACAGGTCACTTTTTCCTCGCTGCTCTGTGCGGTGCACTCCAGCTACAGGTCTGAAATGAAATGTGCCGTGACCAAAAGGCATTGTGTTCGGACTGGGCGACTGGGCGAGGCGACTGGGCGAGGCGGCTCCGAACTTGAACAGAACCAATGTCTCGCCGAGAGAATTTCTTGAGCTTCAGCCGCCAACCGCTAAAACGGCTTAGAATGGTGGTGGAATCAGGCTTGAAGGGGTAGGAAAAAATGGCAAAGGACCTAAATTTTGAAGATCTGAAACCATTGAGCTCCATTGTCCTCAATATGTACCAAAACCTTTGCCATCCTCAATTCCCTTCAAGCATTGCTGTCCAGACCAAAGACCATCAGACCAATGTGCTGCAGAAAGTGAAGACAAGACCAGCGTACGAAACTTCATGCAGCAGCTGCACCTGAAAGGAAAGACATCAGATTTCCCCAGACATGCAGCTGCTGCCTGGACTAAGCTGAGACCAAACTAAAATCCGCAACGAAGGTGCCGAGACGTGATAGTTTAGGAGTGGAAGCAACCGGAAAGATCTGTCAGACTATATAAATCTATATAACATTACATAACCAAACCAGGCTTGGCGAAGTTCAGCTGAGATTAGAACGACTTGGATTTGGCTCGTGGTGGACGTGCTCCTGCACGACGCTGCAATATCTGTATCAATCGTCCAAATTGAAACAGTTTTGAGGTGTTTCGATGCAGTTTTGATACACTGTCTGCGACTTCTGCTAATCATTCTAATTATCACAGTCTACAGCCTGTTTACAGCCTGTTTACAGCCTGTCCACTTCCGATGGGCTTCGTGTCCGTCTTGTCCGTCTTGTCCTTGGTTGCTTGACCTGCGAAAACGAAGACCTGTACGGACAGGGCAATGACCTGGGCCGCGAGTTTTTCCATGGCCAATCGCTGCACGTTGCGACACGCGTTGGGAACCATTGCTGCCAAGCAGCCAAGGCAGTTGTGCCAACGGGCCAGTCGAAGCCTTTCTTGTTCAGCAACAAATCGCCCACAAAGTAAACCTCAGAATGGTGCCCATAGCGCACACTCGAAAATCATTGTGCAATTTTGCGCCATAAACCTGTCAAAGCAGCTGTGCAGGTCATCAGCTATTGAAAACACCAAAATAAAACTATCACGTATCACGTCATGTATCATTTTGACAGTTTGAACATCGGATGTTGCAGGATGTGCGTGAGGATTCATAAAATCTATGAGAATCTAACGCTCTAGATCGCTTTCCCATGACTTGCATTTTCCAGATAGCCGATCTATTTGGGATTTCCTAGCATAGGTAGCTACAGTATTTCCCAATCGGTTCACCAATCAGTTTGCTGAACATCTGGCCCACGCAAATCCTGACTGCAGCCGTTCTGATTTTCTAAAAACTGTGATCAAATTCTTTTTGTAATGTGGCAAGATGTGGCAAGCAGAGTAACAAAATGTAACAAACATGGTTCAGATCAGTTTGGATCACAGCCACATCTTCACAAGCTGCCCCCTTTTGACTGCGGTCCAAGGAGTGACGGGGCAAGAAACCTGCTTCACATTTTGCAACATTTTGCAACCTGTTTAGTCTGTTTAGTCTGTTTAGTGGTCTGTGTTTCTCTTGTGCCAAGAAGCGATCAGGAGCGACAATTGCTGGGCGCTGGATCGGATGACAGTAGAAAGCCGTTTGGCAACAAATCCTGCATTTCGTTGGAGGCAAATGGTTACACAACCCTTCAACGGTAGCATGCGATCAACTTCCTCTCAACAGGACGTCGAGGTAAATTTGTTTCGTACATGAGAAAATGCCTTCCCTGGGACCGTCCTGCCAGCCAATTCTGCAGAAGTGTAACCACCAGCACGATGATCATCTGCAAATTCCAGGCAACGAAAATGCCAGCTTCCATCCTGGCCAGTTATGGATTAATAGCACCAAAAGAGTCGCCTTGTTAAGGCGCCATTATGTCCAATGTCATACTATGATGTTGACAATCTCGTTGACATACTGTAACAAAGTGCTTTGAAGCTCGGCTCCTGCCATCTTCCACGACTCTTTTCTTCCAGAATGCATCTTGATCGCGTTTGCTTGTGATGCCGCAAACAAAGAGCATCAGGATCTTAGCAAAACACGCAAGAATCCAAAGACACTGTTAGACTAACACAAACAAAAACAAACATCAAACATTTCGCACCCACGTCTATGCGCATAAGTTGCCTATGCAGCTCCCTAATGCTTGCTACTGCATTGGTTTTTGTTTTTGTGCTTCCGTTTGATGTGATCTGGCGGAAGAAATTTGGCAGCTTGCTAAGGGGAGCTAATAGCTATTGAATGCTATTGATCAGCTCCAGTGTCTGGCTGTTCTGAGTTTCTTAAAAGCTGCAACTGATTAAGTGATTCTTCCGTGGCCCACTCTGGGAAGCTGGCTGATGTGAAAAAGCTCCCAACATCCAAATTCACTTTTTGAATGTAGAAATGGCTGTTGCCCGCCTGTCACGGACAAGACTCTCCAGAAAAAAATGAGAAGTCCATAGATGTCTTGAGATGTCTTGAGTGGGAAAAGGCAATGCCAAGAACACGCAAGAAAATGAATCTGGTAACAAATTTGCATCGCATCTGCGGAACCTTCATGATCTTTTCTGAGAGCATCGAAGCCAAACACGACATGACCACGGAGAGGAGGACGTAGCTGATCCCAGTGTTGAAGATGCTCTCTGAAGGACTTCCTGCTTTGAAGCAAATTGCTTTGTGCGTCCGGATTGAAATGCTTTGAACAATTTTGAACATCTCTGCTCTGGACTCTGGACACTGCTTTTCGATTTCATTACATGTTTGTCATCGCTTTGCCTGATGCAGAGTTCTGCAGCAGAACAAAGGCACTGGCGCTGAGCATGAGCACCTTAGTTCTGTGTGTCATCTACAATTCCTACAACTGTCACAGTGGGATATATTAAAACCATTTAAAACCTATTAAACCAACCAACAATATCCAACAAATATACAACTCAAACGCACAATCCCAAGGAATGGCACAGCTTAGCGATAGCTCATTCCTCCGACAAGTCCTGGATACATATCGGACGCTTGAAAACGATTCACGTCCATTCACAGTAAATATACGCACAACTTATCACAACTTCATATCTGCAACGAAACAACCTCGAACTAACCGTGCAACCGTGCTTGAAGAAGTGCATCCCGCATATACCGGGGAACCAGGTGTGTAGGTCCAAGAAGCACATAAACTTGAGAACTCAAACGGAGGTGCCTTCAGGTGTCTATTAACTCTATTAGTCCCTTAATGCTCCTGAATGTTCTTTAGCCTGATTGCTCTTCGGGATCTTGAAATGTCAAGGCACTGTGAGAGCAATCCATTCCAGAAAGCTGTAAGAGCGCCGAAATATCCAACGGCTGAGCAACGCGCTCAAAGGCATATAGACGTTACCAATGACCTATCAGCCATGGTCCCTTAAACATCAAACGGAATGGGACATCTACACTCATAGATTGGTAGAACATAGAAGCATGATCAAGCTTTGACAACCCTTTTTCTGATGAAAACGACGCACTTGTGACATTTTGTGACTAGATTTAGCTGCAAACGTTTGACATATTTTGAAAACATCCAAAGACCCAAAGCTGCAGTAAGCTGCAGTGCTGCAAGGGGCCGTGTTCTCCATTCCACTGACCTAACACATGCGAATATCGTGTCACGAAGTCGAAAAGGCTCCAAAAGGCTCCAAAAGGCTCCAAACATCTCGAGAAAAGACACATCATTGAGATATGCAGAGGGTAGGATCATTGGTATGAAGATGCGCACACACACACACATATATTCCTCAAAGAGCGTAAATATATTAAATATGCGTAAATCACAAAATTCATGAAATTCTGACAGGTCAAAGTCGCTCCAGAGCTGTAGGCCATGATTGTGAATGTCTGGCTCAAGGAGAAGCAAGTAGCTACGGGGAAGCATCGCAAAATCTCCTATGCCACTGGAAATTGCAAAAGGTCTTGATCCACCTGTGTCGTATCACTGTGTATCACTGTGTATCACTGTGTATCACTGTGTATCACTGTGTATCACTGTGTATCACTGTGTATGATCGTATATCTGTTGTGATATGTTGTGATGTGTGCAGAAAGTGTGCAGAAAAACGCAGCTTGAAGAAACGCCCTGGCGCCCTCACCACATCGCTCCTTCCACGACAATGCATCCTTGAAACCAGTCATGCCTTCAGCTGCCACTGAGACCACCAAGCCCACCTTAGAGGCGAAACACGTTTGAAAAAGCGGGTGAACAAAATTGAAACAAGTGACACAACTGGTAAACCATGTTAAACCATGTTAAACCATGCTAAACCATGTTAAACCATGTTAAACCATGTTAAACCATGTTAAACCATGTTAAACCATGTTAAACATCAAGTCTGAGGACACAGAGGACACAGCTTTCAAAGCCAAGGAGCAACAATGGATGCTCCAAACTGTGCGAAGGTGATGGACTGCGAGACAATCGGAGTGCCACTGATGTACTGGTCATTCCTAGCGCTTTCTCAGCTCCGAACCGCTGATATCTGCTCGACCAGGGCTGATCAACTGCCGTTCAACATTCAATTTTCAACATTCTTCAACCAAGGCTCACAATGGTTCTAGCCGAGTCGAAGACCACGAAAATCTCAGACGACATGTCTGATGAATTGTGATGATATATATATATATAATATATATATAATATATATATATATAATATATATATATATTGTAGGATCAAAAGATGCAAATGTTCAAGCAACGAATGAAGACACCGCCATCAACGGCGGTCAAGGCACGGAACCTTTTCCGTCTGAACTTGCGCCCAAGAGCTCTGCGGTCAGCAGGCAAAAGTTTCACAACTGCAGCAAAGTGACATGACTCCATGGAATGGTTACAGACTGTCAAATGAGTTCATCAGCCCCCTAAAGTTCTTGTTCCATGGAGTTTGACATGAGCTTTGACTGGTTTTCAGTCTCTGCTCTGACTGTTTGCCACGCAGCAGGACCTCTTCTTCTTCCTCTATCATAAATTTTCCAGTCTTCAACAACTTCAACAGGGGCTCATGATGCCCACCCACAAATTTCGTCATTGAATCAGCTGGGTTCATGTTGTGAGGGATCCATCGGGGTCGGCTGCGGCACACTGACATGGATTCGCGAATGATCGCGGTTTCTAATGCACTCCTATCATCATCGCCCTGGCTTTGCTCCGAATTCAGAGCATCATACAGACTCTTCGCATCCATGACGCAGACACTGTGAGGATCTCGATAGATGTTGGAGTCATTTGCAATGACTGTTGCCTTTCCAGCGGCCTCAAGGTATTGATCTTCTGAAAGCTGCTTTCGTCTCGGGCTGTAGTCTGACAGGCGGGTGCTTTGGAAGAAGGCGTCCAAGCGTTCCAGAGCACCTGTCGCTGCAGACATCGAAATCGCCTCGCACAGCAATGAAGATGATGCCTTTCTCCGAAGCCGCTTGGATCGCCACTGAATAAGAGAGATGGGCGCAGGCTCTCCTCTGTTCAGCAGTGGATTTGTAAATCCAAGCAACCATCCATGTTGAGATTTCTCACGTCCACTGGTGTCGAATGCTGAATCTGCTATCAGGACCAGTCGCAGTTGGCTTTCGGGAATCGCATGAATCCGGAGGGTCACAGGAAAGGTCTTCAGGTGCTTCACCACCTCATTCGCGGCATGCACATGCTCCATTGTCGGGTTTGGAAACGACGAAGCCAGGATTGATGCTGCGGATGAAGCATCAGGCCTTCCTTCCCTTGACACCCAGTTCAAAGAAGCGATCAAGCCTCTCAACTGCGTCTTCTCGCTTTCGTTCAGTTGCGTCTCAGCTGCATGCTTTTTGAGAACCTTTTTGTGGCTGAGAATCGGTTCCAGTCGCGTATAGATGAACTCCTCCATCGTGATCTCAAAGCTGAAATCAGGCAGCTGGCGCAAATGACGTCCTGCATAGTTTGTTCCTTCAGCAGACTGCAGGTTCTCGACTTTCCCAAAAGTCAGCATTGATTCCAACTGCTTCATTTTCTCCAGATGCCTCGGTCCACCCGCCTCCGCAATGTCGTCAACCTCAATGACGATGAAGCCGTCGGACAATGCACCTGGGGATCCACGTTTGGATTCTTCAGCTGGAAGTGTGAGGATGCACCTGTCATAGCAATTCACCTCATACTTCAGCTTCTCAGTCGCTGTTTTGAGAAGTGTCCTTCTCCACCAGCTGGGTCCAGTCACCAGGCCATAGATCTCGGTGAGCAGCAACAGGAGCTGTCGTGGATCAAGTCCTTCTGGACATTCATCACGTGGCATCCGGCAGGCAAGTGGTTTTGACCTGGTGGTCGGCAAGGCCTGCAGGAAAGCGGTCTTCACATCCTTAACCCGTGTAGCCCATCGTCTGCTTGATGCCAACTGCAAGCACGCATACAAGCTCGTTGACAATGGCGTCGGGGAAGAACGCTCCACCTCGAGGATCTGCGGATCCTGCCATCCCACTGCGCACAACCGTGATTTTGGATTGGTGGCATCTGCTTCCAGCTCGATGGCTTTGAAGTGTCCCTGAGTCAGTGCTTTGGACTTGTACTCCTCCAGCTTTCCTTTTGAAACTGCAATAGGCTTGTAGCGGTCCACATACTTGGAATCAATCACCTGTTCTGGTGTGTCTCGCAAAAATCTGAGACTTTCCTCCACAGACAGAATTCGCACAGCGCCAGTGGAAACCAAGCTGTCGAGCTCCTTTTTGCGTGAAGCCCGAAACATTCTCTTCTCTTCTTCAGGCAACTTCGAAAATTCAACTTGTCCAAAAGATGATTTTGTCTTGGTCACGTACATGCAGCTGTCTCGGATGCAATAGCTTGCCTCTGCTTGCTGGCATGAAAACGTGGCCTCATCTTCAGTGCAAGGTCTCAAAGTTGACCTTTGCTGTTCTCGGCAAAACTTCCATGTGGCACCGATGAAGGCTGGTGCCTGCACTGCAGAAAACAGGTGTGAATCATCTTCAAAATTGATCACTTCCACATAGAGAGATTGATTCGGTGGCCTTGGAAGAGAGGGCGCACCCGGGTTGAATGGAAATGGTGTCCTTGGGGCTGCTTCTGTCACTGACCTCTGACTCAAGGTTGGTGTGGGACCTGTCACAGAACTTTGTCTCAGCGTTGGTGTCTCTGGCTGATCCAACAACGGTTCTTGTGCAGGTGCTCGTGGCCGTGCAGCTGGGTATGGTGCTGAATGACGTTGTCGTTCAACAGCTGACGGGCCAAAAGTTCTTGCCGGTAGCATTGGTTGTGGGGGCATGCTCACAGGGCTTGCTGGTTCACTCACTTCTGGAATGACTTCCATTGGTGCGGTTGGCACTCCAGTCTCAGATGCGATGCTCGCACGTCTGCTAGGCAGTTCAGAGTTTGGTGCCGTCGTCACATTTGAACCATCCACTTCCGTGTCCACCTCCATGTGAGCTTGACCTGAAGAGCTTCCCGTGGTGCTCGTCGTGGTTGAAGTTGTTGCATCACCTGATTGAGATGAGCCATCTTGGGTCTCAGTTTGTTGAGCTCCTTCTTCACGGACATTCAAGGTCCTGAGAACTTCATCATAATAGTCGTCTGTGGGTCCTCCTTCTTGAGTGACATCTTGATAGACGACATGACCTGGCTTGCTCAGTTTCGCCAGCATCTCTTTGGAAAGCTCAACAATGAGCTCGGCTCCAAGCTCTTCTTCAGGTGTGGCTAGTCGAAGTTGTTCTCGAGATGCCTTCCATAGCCTGCCGCGCATAGACACCCAGGATGATTTTCCAGTGGAGTCTTCGGCGATAGTGACGCCAGGGCCAATCCAACCCTTGTAGGAAGGTGTGTCCCGGAAGACGTAGACCCATGATCCAGCAGGAATCTTCTGTTGGTCGCTGGTGCGGGTTTGAGCGCGCAGACTGCGTCGCACAGCACCTTGGTCCTGCTTTCGGATCCATTCGCGGGCAGCTGCATCTCGAATCTCCCATGATCGGTGAATGGGGTCTGTGGCCGACGCATCCGCCAGCTCGCGGTTCAGGGCGTCGGTGGCAAGGAGAGAGGCTGGGAGGCGCAGGTTCTTGCCGAAGACACGCTGCATGGGGCTAAATCCAAATCGATCCATGTAGCGGTTTCGTCCTGCTACCACTTCAGAGATGACATATGGCAGCTCTTCCATCGAGGCTGATGTGGCGTGGATTGTCGCTAGGATCTTCTCTTTCAAGATACCTCCAGCCTTCTCAGTTCTTGAGTTCTGCCAAGGTGATTGGGCGTCTGTGTAGTGGAGTCCAACGCCAAGACCACCCACAAGCTCCTTGAGCTTGTCGTTGTCAAACTCCTTGCCTCTGTCCATGACCAAAAGAACGGGAGGTCCATAATGCTTCACCCATTCGCTCATGAAACGTTCAACCACTTCATCTGCATTCTTGCTCTGGCAGATGCATGCTTGTTGGAAATTGGTGCCCCAACACAGCATGTTGAGCAGGATGACCTGTTTGTGCTGTAAGTCCAAGAAGCACAGGTCAATGCCAACCACAGTGTTGAACTCCAATGCTCGCATCAAGTGTCCAGGTCGTGCTGGTTTTGGTCGAGGAAGTGCATTGCAGGTCGGGCATCTGAAGTGTCTCTTGGTCCACTGGATGATATGTTCCTGAACTCCAGCATTCTGCAAAGCACGGACGAAGATGTCCAATCCAGGGTGACCAAGATTCCGATGCACTCGATGAACTTCTCGCCTCAAGTTTGGAGGAAGCGAGAACTCTCCCTCATCCACCTTTTTGAAGTCCTCCATCTTTGCAAGGGCTTTGGAAACTCCAGGTTGCTCGCCAACATTGCGAAGCTGACGGCGAGTTTCTTCCAACACCTCGTCATCCACTGCCTCTGGCACAACTGCCTCAGGCAAGTCTTCATCATCCGCTGCTGCAGGCCAGACCATCCGTGAAAGTCCATTGGATGGATGAAGTCCACTGGCTTCTGCATTTGGCCGGGCAGGTGGCTCAAGTCCAAATCCAACCACCTGCCTAAGTCCATCGGCCTGAAAGTCCAATGATTGCGGATGTGAATTGGAGGCCATTGCAAAGTCCATGTTGGCCTCTTGGCAATCCACTGCAAAAATTTGGGCTTGGATGCCAATCGACTTGCCATACAGGAAGGCTTGGTGAAGTTGTGGATTCTGAGGCTTTGCTGCTTTGATTCCAAGGGCATTTTTGATACCATGCAGCAATGCCTTGACAAAGTGGGGCGTGTAGATCGCGGCCATCTTAGCTGAGCCGCCAACCAGCATTCCATGTTGATGCGACTTGTTGCAAGTCTTCTGAACGTAGTGAGCCATCTCTGCAATGTTGGTGGCCAGGAGTGTGGGCTTTTGGACCAGCTCCCCTTTGCAGGGACCTGCTTGAGCACGTAGGCCAAACTGGCACATGTCCACGCGGATCTGGTAAACGTCTGGATGATCCAGCAACTCCAGCATCTTGGGGAGTTTCCAAGACTTGGCATTCTTGGGCTGTTCCAGGATGAACCCACGGCCTTCGGAGATCTGTAGCATGGCCAAGCTGATGGCGAAGTTCATGTGGAGCTCACCCTCGATGACTTCACGTCGAACTTGTTCACTGTCACGCTTGCTGTTTGACAAGTTCCGTAGGGATGAGAATGGTCCACATGGAGGTGAAAGTAACAGCACTGCAGGTTTGTGCGTCTTCACCAGCTTCACAGCCTTTTGGCGATGCTCTGACTTGCAGAAGTCCCAGCCGTTGGTCAGGTCCAGCGCTATCTTCCCACGGAGTCCTTCACCTGGAGACATTGCAGTGGCTCTTGGAGGGCTGTAGATCTCGCCAATGTGGTCGAGATAGTTTCGTAGTGCAAAAGAAACGTGTTGTCGTTGCTGCTTGTCGATGGTTTTGGGCACACCATCAAAATCAGTGCGGGCCAGCTCAGACGTGCTGGCATTCAAGGAAAAAGTCATTTCTTTGATGCCCAGGTCACCCTCAGTGCTGTAGCTGTCCTCAAACTCCATCCGAGGACCAAGCAACGTAGAGATCCGTTGCTCTGCATCGGGCAACTGAGAGCAAACCAGGACCGTTGCAAACATTGCCAACTTCGTGGCCTGGGCAAGTGGTTTCGCTATTGAATTCGTCTTGCATCCAACATTGCCCTCATATTCCTGGGATTTGCATACCTGGTTCTTCATGGAGTCACCATCTGAAAGTCTTGGATGGCTTTGCGTGGAGTCGTCTCGTCGTCCGACGTGTGGATCTCCTGGATTTCCAGCTCCGATGATGCTGGTCCTCGAGACTTTGACCTTGGTTGGGCAGGTCGAACTCCACTGGCCATCTGCATCTGCTTGCGGCGCTCCTTCTTGTGCTCGGCCATCAACTTCTCCAACTGCTGATCGGCTGTCTGATCGGTTGGGTCGAAATCCATCCCATCCATCAGTGCCTGAGCCGCCATGTCGGTCACCAGACTGGTTGTTGGTGGAATCCCCATGGCTGCTTGGCGGTGGCGGTTCTGTGGGTGCTCCAGCGGCATTGGGAGTTGTACTTCTGACTGCATGGGTGCTGGTGTCATCCTCCCTTCGTGTGCCATCAGGGGATCTGTGCGGACCACTGTCTCCTCCTCGACGACCAAGGTTGTCAGGTTGGGCCTTGATCTCGGCGGTGGCAGTCTGCTTGGGTATGCCACCTTGGAAGACGTCTGGATCTTCTCTGTTCCCGCTGAACCGCGGTATTCCCCTGAAGAGGCCGCACCAGCGTTGAGCTCCATGTCGGGTTCCCACTCCACGCGCTGCCATCGGCTTCCACATTGCAGGCACGTCCACCAAAAACTGTCCTTTGACCCCCGCTGCCTCAATTGGCTTTCTTCGTGAGCACAGTCCAAGGGCTCTTTGGGCCAGCTTTTGCATGCTTTGGAGCGAGGCAGAGGCTGCCCTATGCCACGCCTGACTTTGGCGGTCTTCTTCGACTCCGCTGGGACCAGGGACTTGTCCTTCTTGGCCTTCGGGAGCTTTGCCATGGTTCCCCTGTTTCTGCTTGTCAGGTAGTCGGTCACCGACTGTAACATCACCTCCAGGTACAACCTGATGGTTGCCAACACCATGCGACGCCAGGCCTGCATGAGTTTTTCCGGTGGTGACTTCTTCTTCGGCACCGGGTCTGGCATGTCTTCGTTCTGAGCCAGCAGCCATTGCGTCACACGCTTCTGCATCGCCCGTCCAAAACTCACCAGGTCGAGATTGGGGCGCAACGGGATCTTGAGTTCCCTGGGTGTTTGCGGACGGTCGGCTTTCTGTTGTAGCACGATCCAATGCAGGCTGTTGCAAAGAACTTGATGAAAATGCATGTGAAGGCTGTGGCAATGGACTTGATAACATGTGTGATGTGGTTGACGCTGAATGTAAAAATTGAACATCATCTGAAAAACTGACATGTTTCCGCACTGCAACATCAGTTGAAACTGTTGACATCTTTGTTGAAACATCTGCAGTTCTCTCCAAACCCCTTTGGTCCTGCACCTGCATTGGTGTAGGCTGCATTGCTGGCTGCCGCATGCTTGCCTCACCGTGCAGCAATGCATCACGTTCACACTGTTGAGAAGGATCACCAGGGGAATGGGGATGAAAAGAGGCAGCAACATCAACAACAGTGCCGATCGATGAAGGCGAAAACTGCGAAAACTGCTGAAAAAACACATCACCCGACCAAAAAGGGAGTTGGCGCTGTTGATTGATCAGCCATGAATCATGGATTGAAAGCGGTGCAGCATGTTCATCATTGCTGTCAATAACCGTCCACCGTGACTTGTCCAAAGTTCCCAGCAAACTTGATGGAAAAACTTCTTTTGGGTGCACTAAAGTTTTTCGAGGGCTCAAGGTGCCCATGTATTGCAACTGATGCTGAGCCGTTTTCAACCAAACAGCAACTCCAGGTCTTTGTGCAAACTTCGTTGAAGTTGAGCTCTTCGCAGGAGAAGGCTTGGGTGATGCAGCTTGAAAAGGGTTCTCACCTTCAATTTTCAACTCATTCAACAGCTGCTGTGGCAACGTCCACTTGCCTGCAAACTCAAGCACTGAAATGGCGCGGTGCCCTGATGGAGATCGCCTCATAGGCGTACTATTGCCATTCTTCAAAGTAAACAGTTCCTTGCTCACATCAACTGTCGCACCTACCAACTCAATGTAAGAGATGGGCAAGAGAAACGGGGTGCAAAAAGATCCTTCGTCGCTGATTTCAGTCACACGGATCAGCCCATTGGTACGAGCCACTCCAACTGGTACATCATAAATTCCAAGAATCTTTGCACTGCCGCCAATCCCAGCACAGGTCACTGTTGCCCCATGCGCTGGTGCGGGCTTCAAACCGTAGCTTTCCAAGCATTGTCTGAGTTTTGCCATTGCAGCTGAACCAATCACTGCTTCCTCAGCCGCTGTGTCGACAACTGCTTCATTGCCGGAAGTTTGAACTCCAGCAAAAACTGAAAACTTTTTCTCCTTGGCTTCGGAGATGTTCACATAGACCTTGTTCTGGTTTCCAGAGCTTCCCTGACACACAAAAAAATTGGCTGCTGATTCCTGAGCACGCTTGGGGCATTCCTTGGAAATATGTCCAAGCTGGCCACATGAAAAGCATCTTGTTCTCGACATCAATTCTTCAGGGGTTCCACGGTGAGCATGACTGCCATGTCCACGACCCTGACCCCTTGAGCTGGTTGAAGTGCCTTTGCCTTTTCCAGAGTTTTGATTTCCTTTGTTTTTCCCTTTCTTTGCAACTCCGGCTTTGGGCTTGTAAAACTGTCGGCCTTTTCTCCGCGCCTGGAGCTCTTTGCGAACGTCCTTGTAAGCAGAGTTGTAGGCCCAGACATAGTTTGCCTCATCTTCATCATATTCCTGTTCAGGGTCGAACAGCATGTAGGTGAAATTGCCACGACCATCACTTTCGGGGCCCGACAACTCATCTTCGTCGGGCTGCAGCTCATCGTCATCCTCATTGGTCTGCTCATCTTCCAACTCACCGTCGACCTGAGTGCTTGTCACATAGGTCTTTGCAACCCTTGACATCAGAGCTTCAGGACGATCTAGAGGACGTAGTGCTGCAGCTGCCTGATCGAAGGTGAGCAGGGCATTGTATCTCACCGCAAGGTTTTCCCTTTGAAGGTCGTTCAGGCCAGCATGACGCAAAAGAATTCGACCAGCAATTTTTGGGGAAAGTTTTTCACCCAATTGGCTTTCCATCTCCTGCAGAGCGATTTCTTTGGCTGCTATGTATGTGGAGAAGCTTTCATTCTTGGATCTTTCATTGCCATAGAAAAAATTCTCCACAGCTGCTGGTCCAGAGGCTTCCAGGTATGGCGCATACTTCGCCATCAACGAGGACAATATAGCACTGTAGCCAGACTCCGAAGTCAACGTTGCTAAATCTATTGCTTCAGCTATTCGGCGAGGTGCCGTTCCTTCATGAAAGGACTGCATCAGCTTCAGACCCCAACGTGACTTCGGCAAATTGTTGTCTAGTTCCCATAGAGAGAGTTGCCGTAGCCATGCACGAAGGGTTTCCACACTTCCATTCCAAGGAGGCAACATCTTTTTGTCGCCGCTGATCGCTGCTAACAGCGCTTTCATCATAACATCATCCTTGTCAACTCTTTCATGGGTCAGTCCAGCAACAGGCGTTTTACCCAGCATCTCAAAAGCACTTTGTACATGTGGTGCAGGTTGTGGCAACGCTGAATTGTCCAAGTTATGGAGAACTGAAGAGGCAGTCACCTGAGGGCATCCAGTACATCCATATTGTCCTGAGCCAACTGGTGCTGCCATCGGCGCCACATTGATGCCTTGAACAGCAGGGTGCATAGCATTCGCACGCATTGGAGAGGATGGCGCTGATTGTACGCCGAAACCAGTCATACTTGGCCGTGGTGAGCTCGCTGTAGCATTCCCTTGAGGAACATTCATTCCAGCATTGAAACCAGTATGCAACTGTGAAACATTTGTTGTGGGTTGATTACCAAAACTTCCTAAGGAAGGAGGTACCGTTCCCATCACATGCACTTGGGGCATTGGGCTCATTACAGTAGGTATCCCAGCACACCCCATGAATACACCTGGTGGTCCTTGTTGAGGGGCTCCACCAGGACCATGGAGCTGCGGACCAGCACCACCATCGTGGTTTGTTCGACCAGGTGGATAGTAAGATCCCGGAGCTCTCATCGAGGCGTCTCCTCGGCTCCAGGGATCACCACCTGGTAAGGACCATGGGTCCATGCCGGTCCAAACCGGACACCGGCTCCGCCTACCACTGTAGGATCAAAAGATGCAAATGTTCAAGCAACGAATGAAGACACCGCCATCAACGGCGGTCAAGGCACGGAACCTTTTCCGTCTGAACTTGCGCCCAAGAGCTCTGCGGTCAGCAGGCAAAAGTTTCACAACTGCAGCAAAGTGACATGACTCCATGGAATGGTTACAGACTGTCAAATGAGTTCATCAATATAATATATATATATATAATGATATAATTGTGAATTATCGACGAATCGACTTTGATGCCACACACTTTGCATCATGACAACTGCATCCGAAGACGACAAAAATGGCCAAAACGCAATGTCTGAGTCGTGTCTTCAATTCTCAAGTAATGTAAACAACACTTCTCGCTACATTTGCTTCACACATTTTCCTGCAACTTTTTGCAAGAGACACACAGGACCTCTTCATTTGAAGCGTGCGCCAAGCAACTACCACACAGGCCAGCTGGACAAGAACTCCCTTCCTTGTTGGCTCGGAACAAAGCAGGTACCGCCACACCACGCAACAAACACCAAATGATACCAGTACAGAGGTAAGAATGGTCAAAGCAATTGACACACATGAAATTCAGAATCTCAAATACAAGACTGTTTCAAAGTTCAAACACGGTTTCTTCTTTGAACAACATTGATTCTTCTCTTCGTGTAGTTCTAGCCTTCTCATACTGCTAAATAAAACGACAACATGATTCACATGATACGTGTAAAAAAAATATTCTTGATATTCTTGACGAAATGATACGAAATGATATCAATGACCGTCCTGACCTGTATTCGAATGACTGAGCGCCATCTTATCCGAGTCACTTTGAAGACATCCAAACGACAAATTGTGAATTCCGGGTTCGCAGTTCTTCTAGCCAGTTCTGGTCGAGGAGCCTTGTGACAGTGGAGGGGTTGAAACGTGCTTAGAATTCTTAGAATTGAAGTATGCAAAATCAGCGACTGTGGGCGTGTCCAAGTTCATTCACAACCCTGCAAACTCCTGCAAATTCCCTTGGGGTTTGAAACAAATCGAATATTCAAAATATATCAAAATATTGAAGTTTCCTTCATGGTCTTGGATTGCCAAGCGTGGACTTACAGTTACTACAGTTACTACAGTGCAGTTGAGAAATCCAGCCCAAATCTTATGGTGTTGCTGATGCACATCAGACATCATCAGACCATGTTCGTTTTCCCTACACAGCCTTTTTCATGTGTTGAAGTTGGCTTTGCCTTTGCTGCAATGTCATTTTTTGCTATCTTTCTATGCTTCTCCTTAAAGATATAAGACTTCTGCCGAGGGTCTCTAATCCATCCACAGCAGGTAACTGCGGAATCAAAGATGGTAGTTGCTGCTGGCTGCTAGGTGCAAACCTCAATTCAATCACCGTTTCTACGTGGTCACCATTCGAGTGGTTTGCAGCAATCGCTTGCCATAGCTTGCCATAGCCACGGTGCCATGGCTGTGCCAAGGTACTCTGCAGGGCAGCAGACTTGAAAGTCTGGTGGCATCCTCTCGGCTTCTGAAGGTCTGTACAAAAAGCTTCGTGCGCCGGGACTGCCATGACCGCGAGTGCCCGTGGGATCAGACTGCGTTCGTTGAAGACTGACAAAGACCTTAGCCACTTGATGCCACTTGACAGAAAATGGACACACACCCAATTCAGAATGGGAAAGAAATATTCGTCCAAATGTGCAACAACAAAAATGCTCTAAATATTCTACTCCACTTTTCTACGTGTTATATTGTTGACACGTCCTTCTGATGCTTCTGTCATCTTTTGCCTTGCTCCACTTTGCGGAGACCAGGGAGAGAACAGAGTGCGGCCAAGGTGCAACGTCTTCGACCTCTTCCTGAGCCTCCTGAGCCTCCTGAGCCTGAAGCTCCTGTCTGGCCGCAGCAGCCTGCACAATCGACACAAATCTGAACCAGTCTGCGCAATTCTATGCACAAATTGTGAAATCATGCACAAATGGCACAAATGGCATTCTTTGTGGACAGAATTTTTGCTTTCTCATCACACTGGCAAGGACAGATGGCCGAGATGACCATGGAGGTCACAGGAATCTTAAGTCGAACAGAAGTTGCCAAAGTAAACCGTCTGCGCACAGAGTTCCCATGAGTTCCCAACAGTTTTGAAATTGTCTGGAAGGTTCTGGAAGTTTCTGGAAGCAGAATTCCATTGGGCCTCCAGCTGTTTCATTGTTTGCCGGCGCCCAAGCTGATAAAGAAACACACTTAGAGCCACTGTCAGCGCTAGCATGTAGAGACCTTGAATCGAGGCGAATGCGCAAGGGGATTTTTGTAGTCGGAAAAGTCGGAACAGGATTGGAATGATTGGAATGTGGCAAAATAGTGATATGCTAAACATTGCTAAACCAGCAAAACTCGCCAGATTGCGGACAACCACACGCTCCGCACACACCGAAACAGAAACGCGAGCAGGAACAAACAGTCCGGCAACCGACAAATGCCTTGGGTGTTGCGATACTTGGATATACTTGGTTCATCTTGGTACTGTTGTGCAAAGACAATTCGTTTGGAACACTAGGTTGCACCATACCAAGTTGGATAAAAGGGCATCCCATTGCAATGAGATCTTATTTCGTTAATGACAAAAAGCTTCTATCCTACTACTCCGCACTTCGTAGGATTGGATTAGCTCGCAGGACCACGGGATAGACTCTGGACTCAAACACACTCAGCCAAGTAGCAAACATTTCCCTGGCTTCGGCCCAGCAAAACAACATCGCCAAGGAAGAAAACCACCAGCATGCTACAGCACTGCGTGACCTCAAGAGTCTCTAGTGAGGAGGAAACTTTCTGAAACGAGAATTAGACTCCTTTGCCTTTGCGTTTCTTGTGTTTCTTGTGTTTCTTGACTCCTTTGTTTCATTTCTCATACTCGCGATGGTGGAAATGGTGAAAGGTCTCCTCGCCGAGCGACAGCTTTGGCCACGGTCGACCAATGTTTCACCACCAAACACGCCATCAGCGATTGCACAACGCGAATCACCACGTCAGTGACCTGACACAAGACGGAACATCCAAAACAATAAGGAACAGCAGGAAACACAGGTGAAAAAATGGTGCACAATGCTGCAAACAAACATTGGCAATATGCATCTCTCTCTCTCTATCTATATTTATCTTTATAAATCTTTATACATCTTTTTGTATCTCATATGTCTTTATTGCTTCCTATTGCTTCCAACATGGCAAAGATACTGAATGATATTGACACCTCCCATGCCACCCACTATGAAGCTCGCATGACATTTCAGAAATCTAGGCTATCCCACACACACCAAGACAGAATTGACAGAGGTGGGCTGGCATGGATTCGTGGGGACCGAAACCCATATGTTTGACATGACATGACATGTTTTTTTCTGTAAACGAAGTTGTCGTCGCCTGCAAATAGCTCCAGTCCTTAAAAGTACTCGGCGATGGAGGCCTGGCACATGGGCGCGAGCTGCTCGAGCTTGAAAATTCATCGATTCACAAACCGTTTCAAGGCACACCTCGTCCTGGTCAGTCCTGGTCTGCACCTAACTTCATAAGAATATCGCCCAGCAACCCATGCTTAGCTTAGGACAATCAGACAATATTGAATGTTAATTGAAAAAAAACTTGCATATTCTATGGTTGTTGAAGAGCTGCCACGGCAGTTTCAAAGTGTTTAGAATGCTTAGACTTTACGAACTCCGCGGGAACATGTGCAAGCTGCGCGGGGGCGACGCTCCCAAGTAGAGCAACACCATTGCAGATGTCAACAGGCCCCAAAAGTCAAACCGAGCCTTTTGGACCTCAACGCAGTCGTAGGACCGTAGGGATCCAAACTGATCCAAAAACTGATCCAAACTGGAAACAATTGGCTGAAATTGGCTGAACATCGATATGAAATCTTCTTGCAAACTAAGATAGCTACCCAATAGAGTTCTCTTTGACGATGTGAAACATGTCGTTGCTTCAAAATGTGTTCCTCGGGCACATGGCACATGGCACCATTGAAGCCGCAAGGAAAATGCGTCGGGATCATTGAGATCATCGGGAGCTCTGGAAGGATTCTCATTGCGTGCTCGTCTCAGGGATGCAAACTGCATTGGGATGAATTCCATTCTCATTTGTGATTATCTGAGTCTGGAAGAATATGAAGAATTTTCTGGAATTCAAACTCACATAAACTCAAACACGGCAAACTGAATTCACTGTTTTTTTTTCCGACATTTTGTTGTCGAAACTGCACAGAGCTGAACAGCGACTTGGACCGAGGGACTGCCAACAAACAGGCTGCACAAGCCAAGGCAGCATAAAGCACCACGAACGAAGCACCACGAATGCCTCCGGACCTCAGTGACACCTGATTCTTTTTCATAGCTTCAAATAGGCAATCAAGTGTAATTTCAATCCGTGTGCACACTCAATTACACTCACATGGAAAGAGTTGATGTAAATTTGCGCATCATTTCACTTTGATGCAATGTATAACTGTACGTATAACGTATAACTGTATAACGTCTTAGCATTACAGCATTGCATCAAAGTCTTAGCCGAAAGACAGTCCAACTGCACGGCTGCGGAGCTCGCAAAAGGTCAAAGAGCTGAATGTCAAAAGGGCCTTGGCATTGAAGCATCCGAAGCAACACATGAAAACAGCTGTAAAAAGCGACAACAAACAAAAAAAGGAACACACAGGAACAAGCAAAAACCAAGTAATGACCAATGTGAGAAAATGAGTCGTCCCTGGAGAGAAAGTTGGCGAAGAACTCATGCAATCTGCATCTGCATTCTTTTGAAAACTGAGAGGCTAGTGCATGTAGCTCAAGCCAGCCATATGCACCTGGCGAAGCGCGAAAAGCGCGAAGACAGCTCATATTGATTCGTATTGTCATGTCTGAAGCTGACATAGTCACGCAGCTTATGTCCCTCGTATGGCAGATTATGGCAGTATGGCCAACGCGGCCAAGGTACGTCTGAACATCCAGCGACTCACCTTGCAACGCTCAGTTTGCACACACCGCACTTGTAAACTTACTCGAACTTACTTGCCAACTTTGGCGACGGCTGGGACTTGTAAAGATGGCCACTCTTTCAGCCAAGACACAAATGCGCTCATGGGCATGTACAAGGTGCCCCTCAGATGTACAAACATCCTGTAAACACCTGCTAACGACCCACATGGCACACAGTACTCAAGCACGGTCGAGAAATCATTTTTAAAAGCAATAAAGATGTGTGAAGAAACATTAACAAATACTGTGATTCCAAACTGCGTTGCAAACCTCTCCATGCGTGCATCACAATCATATATAATCAATCCTATATATATACTATATACCCGATATATATATATATATATATATCCGATAGATAGATAGATAGATAGATAGATAGATAGATAGATAGATAGATAGATAGATATATATATATATATTATATATCCGAGGCACAGGGAAACAGCTGTGGCCGCGCCGATGCCAAGGCCGATGGCATGTGCCAGGGACGCATTGCTCAATGAGAAGAGCACTGCGGTGGGCAAACAGCGCAAAAACCTGAAACGAGTCCACTTTTGCACAGAACGTTCAGAACAAATCACAAACAAACACGACATCTTGATCAGAATTTGTGACAATTCCTACAGATAACATTGGTGCTATGGGATTGTGTGGAACTTGCAACCATGGAACTCCAAGGAGAAGAATGTGTCGACAACTCCTCGAATTCCAAGGTGCCTGTCACACAGGGAGACGTGCGATGAAGCAGAAGAAACTCTTCCGAGTCCAACATAGTCTCGCACTGAAGGATTAAATTTGGCGAGTCTTTGGCTTGATCCTTACCCAACCCTATCTGGCCCAACCCGTTCAGCGTACACAAAAACACTTGCCTCAGGGTTGCCAACAAGCAAAGCACGACTAAAAGTAGGTCCTCGCACTCAAGGACGCAAACTTTCAAAACAACCACCCGACATCACCCGACAAACATGAAGTAATGTTTTGATCACACCAGCAATCAAATATTGCATCATATTGTATCATATTCCATCAGGGATAAGACTGGACAAATGATTTGTGCACTGCATGCAAGAAATACTCGAGGATGTCTACACACACACATGTAACTTTTGACAATGTCATGCACACACTTTCACATGATTTTAGTTGATTTCATATTATGCATATTGGTTTACCATTGATACATCGGTGCCGAATTCGTGCCTCTCCCGTTATCTGTCCTGCAAGAGCACGATGGACTGAGCTGTCACAGGACTGTGACCCATGGCCCGGACCTCACAGTTGGAAGAAACAGAGCATAGAAGCCTCTTAAATCAACATAGCATAGAAGCACTGAAGACATAATTGACATAATATTCAAAAAAATAAAGGATACTAAAGGATACTAAAGGTGCTTACATAGTGGATAGCACTTGAAACAATTTGGAACAATGAAGTCTTTCGAGGCGCGAAACACGAGTGCATCACTGCATATCACTGCACTACTCTGTTTCGTGATCGAATCATCACTGAGCCCAGGTCGTCCGCCATGTACTTGGAGGAGTCCACCAACAGGAAAAAACCGAAGAGCATAAGCGCCATCCAGTGACCACAGTCACAGCACCACGTGATCTGGAACCTGGAAACTGGCAAACAATAAGGATCAACTGGCTCCCTCGTTCACAAGGCAAAATGAGAAAGCCAGGCTGTGATCAAAGAAGTTGTTCCCAAAGAAATTGCCAGTGGAGAATGCTTGCACAAGGACAAGCTTGAGAACGAAAAGCTTGACTCACTTGACCATTTCACCCATGAAAAGAAGACGTGAAAAGTGTTTTACTTCTGACAGAACTTCTGACATCTTCTCACCGGATAAAACACTCTGCCTTTCTTCTGTGCTTTGCGAAGTTCTTTCTTCCGCCAAAGCAGTTGTGTTTTGTACAGGCTCCTGGCCGTTGCAGCCAACATGGACAACTGATGCCACACATGACAACTCGATAAGTCAGGGGTCAAGAGCATTGAAATGCATCGAATAACATTTGTTAAAGCATGGCAAGCATGGCATGGCAAGCATGGCACTCGTCCTTGCGTGTCTTTGAGTGGGCTCTATCCGATGGCAAGGTCTGCGAGCGGCCTTGCAGTGGCCCGGTACAACAAAAGGATGTGGCATTACACAACTCGTCCTTCAAACAGTTGTGCAACTTGTGCAAGCTTCAAAGACATCTTGTGCAGTGTGCAGTGCAAGTGGTGCAATCGGTGTCACACTGTGGTGGCAACCTTGGCCCGCAAACAGTGGCAGAACTGGCTCATTGCTGACCTGGGCAAAATTGAGGCTGCCTGAACTGGAGTCATCAGTCGTGTCAAGCTCTGAGCATCTGAATGCTTCAAATGTTCTGCAACCAAGGGTCTAAAGAATCAGCAGCAGGGGACATGACTGGTCATTCTATCTGCTTTGAAAGCAGAGATATTGACAGCAGAAATGCGCGCTAGATTGTCTGTCTAGGTTGTTCTCAGAAGAGCCCAAGTGGGTCTGATCTAAGCCAGTGGTGCCTAGGGCACATCAGGTTCCAGGAGTGATGATGCTTTCACTATGCCCGTAGAACATCAAAAAACATCTTCAAAATACTTCAAAGCTGTGGTTGTTCAGTTTGGTCGGCAGATTTCCCAGAAATTCACGACTATGCATTGGGCCAGCTGCAAAACGATCCGACATCTCAATCAAAATGCTGGCTCCAGCAGAATCTCCAACAGCAGTCTGGAAGTGCCATGTTTCGATCAGTCTTTGAAAACATCCCCACATTCTGAGAGTCTTGGGTTGTCTTGGGTTCGCACGGATCGTAGATCTGAATTTTCTTTGAGGCAATCCTATGACACAGATCGCAAGTGGTCTGCGAAACTGCGGTCCCGTTTGCAAAACCATGAAGTCCGAAGTAGACAGAGACACAGAGTTGACTCGGCCTCCAGGGTTCCTGGAACTTTTCCTGTGCAATCTCCCGTAGCAGGAAGGCGATGTGCCTAGACATCGATGAATGAATCGACACGAATCGGCGTCGCTCGGCGCTCTCAACGTTTCGCAGTCTCAGGCGCTGTCTTGTACGCCACACCGGGTGTTTCACCTCAGATTGACAGCACAAATCATCATAATCATCCTCGAGAGCGTATCTCTAATTTGTAACAAACAAGACAAACGCGTGTTTTCTGTTTGTATGATCCTTCTTGTGGATCCAAATTCAAACAGTGATTGCTTCGGAGTATCATTTTGATGGCCGAGGTGCAATGGTCACTCTCATCTACTTCAAATGCAAAAGGCTCAAGCACCTGTGACAAGTTCCAGAACTGCTTCATGGAAACCGGATGAACCCGATGATGAAACCGATGATGAAACGGATGAAACCAGGATTCAAAGGTCCGGCCTTCTTTCGAGCAGGCCGTGGAATTGCCTGAACAAAGCCGGAGACGGCTCAGAAAAGACCATGACAAAAAGCGACATAAAGACTCCCACAACGATTTCGCTGATGATATTTTTTTTTTCCTTTTTTTCCTCTTTCTCCGTCTTTCTCCTCTTTTCAGTAGTCTGCTTGGCTAGGCGGCTAGGCCCTATGCTGAGCCGCTGGACCTGGCAGACTAAGTTGCACAGTGGCAGTTGCAACTTGAACGAATGGCAACTTTGAACCGCAGGTATGATCTGTGACACTGTTTCATACTGTTTCCACTTCATTCTATGGAGGCTATGGTGGTTCCAAATCTGCAGCGAGAATGATATGAAACAAACACATGGTTTCAACCTTCCGAACAACATTCGTCAAAACATCCTTCATGAGAAGCTTTGCATCGGGCTTTGTTTGTCACAGGAGCTACAAGAAAGTAACACTACCTCTGGTACAATCTTTGGCTGCTGCTGCTGCTGCTGCTGCTGCTGCTGCTGCTGCTGCTGCTGTGGTCCCTTTTGCTTTGTAAAACTCAAATGCTGCATCCAATTTGCGATATTTTCCTCCTATCTGGCAATCTAAACCAGCCTCGGAAAAATGAAGACGCAGCTTGCTCCAAATACCAGGCAAACTACCTGACTTGTGGAGTAGACAGACAATCGAAATCTAACACACCTTCTGAGGAAACGGCACATCTCCACGGCAACCTGCGAGAATGGCGAGGCTTACTTCTGATCCGACCCGAAAAAATGGTCTGAGTACTGATGTCCAATTTTTCCAAGCGATTAAGCAACCGTCTCCTACCTCTTTGGCCGTGGGACATGCCGAGTCATAAAGTATGCACGCACGTCAGTTTTTAAAGCATGTAAAGCAAAACGATTTGGAGTGCAGGTGTTGTTAAAGTGTCTTGCTACTGTTTGAAATTTAGAGTCAAATCCATGAATTGCGTCTAGAATTCCAATGGGGAGGATCTGACTTGACACATGTTGCGACATGGCATGACATTCGTTGTCTCCAAGTAGACGCCTGCACTGTTCTCCGATCTGCGCGGGTTCGCGCTTTGAGCCGCAAATCATGCCAGTCCCCAACAGTTCTCAGCTAATGTCAGCTGATGTCAGTTGTAGCATGCCGTACCATGTTGTATGCAGGGGCTCGACCATGGAAACATCTGGAAACCACCAACAATACGATTTCCGCTGCCACCGGGTTGCCTTCGCTTGGCTTGGTAGGCCATCTAACAAAGGTCCAGGAGCGAGTTGTTTCTTGTATGAAAACATAAAAAACTTGAGTGAACTGATGGCAAGAGTAGAGTGGAGAGAAACTAATGAAAGTACATGGAAAAATCATGGAAATAGACATGAAATGGTCAAAGGAGACACAAGGACACTTTAAAGAGACGCGATATGTGAGACTCATCCCACGTGTTGTGGGTTCGGAGTTGTATGGCCACTTTGTAAACGAAGTCAGCACCAAAAGCTTTGTGCCGGTTGGGACCGGGAATATCAAATGTCAGATGCCGAACTCGAAAAACAACCATCAACTCTGACTGCCAGCTGCTTTGCAGCTCTCAACTTTGCACATCCTTTGTCATCCTGATCTCTTCATTCATCTGCATCTGTTTTCGAATACGTATATGCGTCTTTCAATTTTAGAACATGTAAAAGCTAAAAGGCTTCTTGATAGATACATTGCAAGGTGTTGCAAAGTGTTGCAAAATGTTGCATTGGATCTCACCACAATACACAACACCACATTGAACTTCATCTCCCATGTTCTCACCATCAAAATCTGGCTGAATTATAATTGCGTATGAACACAAAGCCATACACCCCTATCAATCCAATTTTTCCATATGGAAATTCATTTACATTTTGCACTCACAGATCCTGAAGTGGATTCGCATGGAACTTGCATCGGGGCCGAGCCGAAGCCCTTTTGATGACAGACTGGACAAAGGTGCAGCAGCTGGCAGCTGAGGTTGCTGCGTGGTCAGGTTGGAGATCCTTTGGTTTGGTTTGGGGCAGAAACATATTTTTCCTCAGATTTTTGGGTCAGTGCTATTCAGGGTTCCAGGACGGTTCACTTGTTGGCATTTGGACACTTGGGGAAACGTAGGTTATGAGCCCAAAGAGCTTGTACAAAGCCAAAAATGACTTCTGAAATCATGCGTAGACGTAGAGACGTGGCACCTGATGGCGCAGTAGCGCAAGAAGCTAGCGGTGGTGTTGCGGCTGATGTGCACGGCGGTGCTGGCACTGTGGCTGCTGATGCCGTGGTGGCAGCTGGCGCTGAGCTGATGGCTGACGGCGCTGAGGAGGCAGCGGGCGCTGGGGCCGAGAGGAGCTACGGCTGAGAAGGGCTTGGAACTGGTGGGACAAGAACTTGTACCAGCTTCCCAAGCGTTGGCCTTGGGGACACGGGGTGAGGGAGGGTCAGCAGTCAGATGTAGCAAAGATTTCTAGATCCCCAAGTGCAGTTGCAGAACCCAGTAGTCGAGATCAGAAGTCAAAGGAGAGGTCAAATAGAGACCAAAAGGGAACCCCAAGCACACCAGAAGTTGCGAAGAGCGAAAGAATGGCAACACCCAATGGACCGCCAGTTTCACTTGTGACGCCAGAGGGACAGGTTCAGAGCATGTTGCCTCTCTTCTCACCAGAGCAGTCTGCAAGACTTCGTGAGATTCATCAAGTACCATTTGCATCACCTCCATCTTCGTGGAATGGTCAAGCGATTGGAGAACCTGGGCATGGGGGAGCTGAACGGCAAGCAGTTCCAGGTTGGCTCAAAGGGCTGCTTCAGTCGATAAGACCTGCACAAGGTGAACATGAGGTGAGGCAGAGAGAATACATGAGGAGGATGCAGGTTGAGCATAGCATAGAACAGCTAGGGCTTCAGCTGCGTGCGTCACAACATGAAAACCAAAGACTTCGTCAAGAGCATCAAGAGTTGATGGAAGCTTTGGAGAAGAAAAAGTCATCACATGCACTTTGAGGACGGGGCAGCAGCCCAGCAAGGTCGAAGGACGCAGGAGGATCGGGCAGCAGCCGTCCCGACAAGGCGAATCCGAGAGTGAGCAATCATCGGATGAGCGACAGAAGAATGGCAGACCAAAGGAGGGCGTAGACAAGCAGTCCATGAAGATCATGCTGAAGTTGATGCAAGGCATGCAGGAGCTTCAGAAGCAGATTGTGGTCTCCAAGGATGAAGGCCGAGGAGATGAAGTCGAAGTGGTGAGGTTTGTCTCAGACCTTCCGATGTTGGCAGAATGGAGTCCTGAGACAGCACCCATCGATTTTGGAGACTGGGTGATTTGTCTTCACCCCCACATGGTAGATTTGAGTTCTACAAGTGAGATGTGGTGGGACCTGACGGTGTCAACCGCACATGCATGGTATGACCACCGACATGAAGCTGTCGCCAATCCAGAGGTTGACAGGTACTCCAAAGCCCGCCCCTGAACTTCAGCAGAAGAAATGGTCCAGGCTTGAGAGGCGAGCTTCGTCACTGCTTCTGAGCGCTCTTCCAGAGTCACTGAGGGAGGAGTTGATAGCTTCCAATAGGTCATGGCACTTAGCATTCTGTCTCGTGCAATGCTGCAGTTCCAGCCTGCTGGGTTGACCGAGCGCAGTGCCATCCTTTCTGCACTTGAGGCGCCTGTGGAAGCAAACTCGGTGGCATTGGTGATTTTGCAGCTGAGACGTTGGATCAGGTGGAAAGGGAGGGCATTGGAAGTTGGAGTTTCAATACCTGATAGCTCCATCCTTATGAAGGGATTGGGGCGTTTGGTCAAGCGCATTGTCACCAGCCATCCAGACCTCAACTTTCGCCTCTCCTTGGTCAAGAGCTCGCTCATGGTGGAGACAGTCCCAACATTGGAGACGGTGACGCAATACAATGAACATTTTCTCGCGGAGTTGGAACAGATGGGACAACAGGCAAGGAAGAAAGAAGTGATGGCAGAGGGCCAGCCAAAGGTCTGCAGAAGGGGCCGTGGTTGTCCTTTCGGACATCAACTTGATGGAGAAAAGAAATGTTGGACATGCGGTGGACGGGATCACATGGCCACGACATGCCCTACTACAGAGGAGTCGGAGTCGAAGCCGCGGCAGCACAGACGGGTTCAAAGACCACTGAAAGCGATGCCACCGACCTCCCCCAAAATCCTTCACTCTGGTGGTGTTTTCACGTTTTTTGGGGTCCTGGGCGGGAAAAAAAACGGTGGTAAAATTGCAAGACCTATTTTGGGCACTTTTTGGCGGATGTTTGCTGTTTTTTGGTGCTTGCGAAGAACCAAAGCATTGTAATTTACAGTGGATTTTGCGCCTTTGGCACGGAACAAGTTCTTCTTGCAACATGCTGAAAACTACGTAAATACCAGTGTTTTTGCTAGGCGCAGGCCAATCAACACTGCAAATACCGTGATTTTTGCTACCAGAGGCAAAAAAACATCGTAAATACCGTGGTTTTGGGCCCGAGGCGCAAAACACATCGGTATTTACAGTGTTTTTTTGCTCCGGGAATATCAAAAAACGCGAAAACACCACCCACGTGACGATTTTTGGGGCCCACAAAAATGCGAAAATAAGATGTGGTGCAAGAACAGCAAGAACAAGAACAAGAAGAAGAAGAAGAAGGAGCGCATGAAAAGCACATCATCCTGTACTCTGCACCTGCACGCACGCGCCGAGCACATGAACAACACCAACGTTCACACTACTATACATAACCCTTATGGCATCGCCGGTGTGCGAAGCTCTACAACTTGAAGAAACCACGATGCTTTGGACGAGACAAAGGAGTGCACCGTGTCCTGAAGACTGCCCTGCTATGTACATTCTTTCAGGAAAGTCCCACGTTTCATGGTTCAGATCTTTCCTGCGCGAGCAATCTAAAGCGATCTGAAGCGTTCCATAGCGCTCCCCATGAAAAAGAGAAACTGCAGAGCTGCAGGAGATAAAAATCGCATGTGATTAAAACATATCAAAACATATTAAAAGTGCAGCTGTTTTGAAACGACACCAATGCATACTCACGCTGCAACGCGGCTCGAGGCTTGTTTTTTCTTTTTTTTACCCGGCAGCTTTCTTCCAAACAAAGATCGGCCGTCCCTTCCGTCCGTTGTCTGTGCCAGTCTTTAGCATGGTCAACGTCGGCTCCTGTGGCACAAGAATGGCACGAAAGGGACCGTAAGAGGGAACAAAAAGGAACATAAAACAACATACTTACAACTTACAACGATCACAATGTAATGTACTTATCAGGTGTAATAATGTGCGAAAATGTGCAACCTTTTGCAAAACAGAAAGTGCCATAGAAGTGTCTTTCAAGCGATCCAAAGTAAACATTCTGCAAATGCAGCCCCGTCTTGAACAAGCCCCAGTTCTTCGACAATTTGGTGGACATCACCTTCAAGATCCTTGGAAGGGCTTGATGGAATTGCTTGACCACAGGCGTCTTGAGATGATTGAAATCTTTGAAATCTGAAACACGAAAGGTGAATACCGGTTTATGCATCTCATCCCTTAGCAGCTCCCTTTTTGTTTTGCGTGGCTTTCTTTATGTCATTTTTGGGTTTCACTTTGATGTTTCACTTTGATCACGTAGGACTTCTGCTTGAAATGTCAAACACACATTGAGATGAGTTTTGCACCTGTAGATACAGTCAAAACATAGACTTCACTGGTCCTTGCATATGATGACATTCATGACATTGTCCTCTTCTTGTCTCTTAGACTGAGGAGATGCGGGAGATGTCAACGGGCACTGCTTGTGAGTCTAGCGTCCAGGCCAGAACGGCGATGCGCACGACGAGTAGTCACAGAGAGTATCAAGTGACCTGTCTGATCAGTCGAATCAGTCAGACATCCGAAAGCCGTGGGATGCCATGGGCGTTCTTGTCATTACTTGTCTTCAATAAAAGAAACACAACCTCCAACGTGAAGACGTTTGGTCAAAATGCAACGAGAACAATTTACCGTGTCATACGGTAGTCCATAAAATGTAGGTGATCTCTGTGAACGTTTTGAACGTTTTCTCGGCTGTGTTGGCAACGTGGCAACGTCTGCCTCCAGGTCGCAAAGCTGTGACCATCTTCGCAAGCATTGGCTGCAAAAAGCCATTTCGCCACGCCTCCAGGACAGCTGGAGCAGGAAAGAAATAGTTCTCGAAGTAAATCCCAAGACCAACGAGACCGTCATAGTTCGGTCATAGTTTTCGAAGATCCTCGAAATAAATCACACAAATCACACGCCCCGTCCTCGACGGTGGGAAAGCGAACATGGCTTTGCGTTCGCTCGTCGCTGTACCATTCCTGAGCACGCTGGAAGTGACTCAAATGGTGACCGTGGCATATTCGGTCTCTTTCAAAAGAACCTGTGAGTCTTAAACGCTCATAGATTTTAAGTATTTTTCAAAATACACGGGCAGCCGTGCTCAGTTTCAAGACGCGGTATTGAAATAAGGTGGTGAAGTGAACGCCACATCCACCTCTTCTTCAACATCAAAGTCCTGGTTTGTGGTTGCTTCTCGCAAGTTTGCTGGTCGGTCGACTTGAAAACAAAAATGGCACCAAAATGATTCCAACAACTAGGTGTCTTCCTGTCCATTGGTCACGAAGTTCCACTTGGTGATTAAACACATTATAAACACCTGGTTCATTCTGGTTCATTCTGGTTCACTTGTTCCCTGTTCCATGGTGTCCTCACTGCCACAACGGTGAAGCTCTACCTCCAATGGTGAGAGCAAGTTGCTCAACTCCTGGGTCAGGACATGTCAGGATGAAATCCGTGAAGATTGGATATTGCTAAGAGTTTTCAGTCTGGATGTAACAACGTCTGACCATTCTGACCATGTCTCATAAAAAACATGAGGTAAATGGATTTAAGATGATTTAAGGACTTCAATACACGTTGCTGTTGGAATTGTGTCTGGTTTACCCTCCTCCAAACCAGCAAAGGTCTTTGAACTTGGCTCGCACGCAATGTATTTGCGCACACCACCTAATCGCCTTGCAGTGCACAGGGCAGCAGAGATATCGTAAACACCTTCCACTATGCTCTGGTGAGAGGCATCTGCAACACCTTCCACAACCATTTTTAGTCCAAAACCTCGTGCCAGCACAAAAAAATCTTCGTGTCGTCAGCCTTTTGGTTCCGGATATTTACAACAGAACTTGTTTACAACAGAAATCGAGGCCATGCCAGTTGCTCTTCAACAGCTTACTCCTCCCCTTTCCCTGTGTGCCAAAGTCAAAGCTCTCAAAACAAAGAAATACATGTGATTTGCAATTTTTATTACAAAACAGTGGTGTCTTCGATATTTCATAGATATTGGGCTATAGATTGTTCTTTGCATGTTGTTCAGTACAGCAAATTTGCTTTGATAAATCTTGACACCCGTTCTGTGGGACATTGTGGGACAAGTGGCGCTCCAAGCAAACGGCCGCCCCAGCCAGCACAGGCATCGTAGACCACGCCCCCAGGGGCAAAGCGTTGGTAGATCGCCTGCACAGACAATAATTCGACAATGATCTTCCAGATGTGGTGAATGAGGGACATTCCCTGCAATTCACAAACACCTGGAAACTGCACGAGCTTAGGAAAACACAAGTAAAATGGATGCAAACCGATGTAAAGAAAACAGAACAAGAAAGCTGATTTCGGCAAATCCAAGCTGCTGCTGCAACTGTGGCTGGGAAGTTGGCAATCCAACTGCCACCTCCTGTCGCAGCTTCCCAAGTTTTCTGCTCTTAACATTTCTTAACTCAAAAGATGCAATCTGATGCAATCTGATGCAATCTTGTAACTCAGAAAGTCTGTGCAATGCGTCTCAAGATGTCTTGCAACCTCCTTTCCTTCCCCCTTCCGACCTTGAAAGATCATCGAATCATCGTGAAACTTGCATTCACCACGCAAGGTCTCGGGCGAGCACGCTGGATCACCACATCGTTCAAGACCTTAGAGGCATCACCGAGACGAGTCTTGTTCAATTGTATCAACATGCACCAACAAAAAACAAAGAGAAAGGCTGCAAAAAAAAAATGTGAGCATTTGATGAAGACTTTGCTGTCGCCGCATTCTTTCGCACACTGGGACGACCTGAAATGCTCGGCTGTGATCTTGATTTGGGAGCGCCAGATGATGCCAGGTGACAAGTGCGGAGGCTCTTCATGAGGCCTGCATTGCTGCTGAAGGTCTCTAAAGCGCTTGGCTTTTTGACAGGACCCATTTCTTTGTTCCTCGGATCCGCATCACTCCGACCCGCAGTTTGCAAACTTCTCTTGCATCTGAGCAAAATCTGAGGCCTAACATGTGTTGGAAGAAGTGTCAAATCTATACAAAGGTTTTGGAATTCTCTATGGGAAACATATATGGTGAAAAACATATGGAGGAACCCGGTATGGTGAAAACATGTGGTGTGAAATGTGGTGAAACATGGTGAAACTATGTGGATCCTAGGGACGCTCCCTTTGTCTTGGACACAGCGAAGCTGTGTGGATGAAAGGACCAGCAGAGTTCATCTCCTGGGCTCCTCTGAAGATCGTCCAACTGGAGCATCCACTGGGACCTGGCAGATGCACAGAGGAAGATCAGGAAGATCAGGACAGCATGGGGCGTGGCATGTCGTGGCATGTCGTGGCATGTCGTGGCATGACAAACTTTGGAGGAATTTGACGACGGGAACTTAGAATGACTTTGAACAACTATCGGACCGAAGGATGCCAAAGGTATGTAGGCAATTTGACAGATCCCAAGTCGGAAAAGTGACGAAAGGTGCAAAGATGCCGAGAGATCAAAGATCTTGTTGCACAAATGGCGGTGCTAAATCCAGAAATGAACGGATTTCTCAGAAACTGTAATGAGTTAAACCTTTGGAAATTGCTTCTAAACAAGACGAGAAAAGGCCAGCTGGAATTTGGAAAGTGTAAGGACCTGTACGGATTGTTTCGAATTCAGCATTACCCCTTTTTTGATGGCAAAGCAAATGTTTTGCTAGATCAAAATTTGGCATGCTGCATCGCTGTACTTCAAATGTCAGGATGTCTTGAAACCCTTTCCCCCGCCTCCAAACACCCGTGACATTCAACTTCAGCAAATCCTGCAATTGATTTCGTCCTTGGTCAAATGTAACGGTTTAGTGATACTTTGCAGGTTGTTTGCGAATGTTTCTCTTATTTTCTGTCAACTGGCCCTGCATGCCAAGATTTGCCAAGCGTCGCCAGGCCGCTGAAGTGGGAGGATAAGGGAAACCTGCGACCGATCTCAGAATCTTGTGACGGCCCCAAGTTCTGTGCCAAAGTCACACGTCAACATTTTTACCGGCACCCGGCATCCAGGCCACGCCTTTGGATCTGTAGAAGGTGAATCTATCCTGCAACCTCGGTATTGCAGTGAATGTCTTCAAGGAATCCAATGCAAGGTCTATAAATTCCGTTCCTGGAATGATGTCAGCACTGAGATTTCGCACAGAGTTGGCCCCTCCTGCAGCACTCTTTGCGACTTTGCGAGAATCAAATTTGGAAAACTTGGAAACCGGAAATCAAGTTCAATTAGAGGTAACATGGAATCTACCCGGAATAGAGCAGAATTAACAGTCACGAACAGTAAGGAGAGTAATGTTTTTTTACGGATTGAGCACTCCCCATTGCATCTCCTCCTCTCCATCCACGGGGAAATTAAGCACTGGCCATTCAGCTCGACGTGCTCTTCGATCCCAAGCCACAGCTGCATCCCGCGGCGTTCTGAAACATCCAAGGAATTCCTGATGTTTAAGCAGGTCGAGACACGAGACATGCCAGTGGTAAACATGGCAAGCATCGTGACACGAATCGTGTCCAAAACGGCTTTACATCGGTCATCAGAGATGGAGAAAGCAGCAGCAATGGTGCCCGCCTCTTCCCCTGGCGCTGAAGCAAAAATGGCGTGGAAGCGGGGCGGCCCAGTAGAATTGCAGAATTCATAGACGCCAAGCCTTAGACTAAAATAAGACGAAGCCGTTTCGCCATATCTATCAGCTTGAAAACACAGCCTATGCTCTGACAAATGATCCAAAAAGTGATCTGACAGACAATCTGTTTCTCCCTCCAGCATTCTCCCTGCAATGGATCGTTTTCTTTGTTTCATGCGCTGCATTGCTGAGCGTCGTCCGTATAGACTCTTGCTGACGTTTTTTTTTCTCGTGGACGAAGTTCATCGTCATTCATGGTGGAGGCTTGTCGCAGCAAGGACATTGCGAGTGCCACTGCGTCATACGGATACACCTCTTTGGACTTCTGCGGTGTAGGTGGAGGCTGCACGCCTGTCAGTCGGAGTTCACGGTGAACGTAGTTCTCCACCAACAAAGCTCACCGTCGTGGGTAGCAACATGAGAGCTACCACCTGGCACTGATTGGCAAATTCCTTGCGGTATGCCTTCAGCCGTGATACCATTGCCTGAAGCACCGCGCGAAGGCCTCTGGAGCCCAACTTCAGCTGCTGTGGATTTCTTCTTGAAGCGGCTCCCTCTCGCTTTTTTCTCGAAGATCAACAAGTGTATGACCCCCAGTTCCAGAGAAGATGACAGGGTTCCGGAGAACGTTCCGCAGGTGGTCCCGGGAGGCTTTGGTGCAGCGCTAGGTGAGGTTCAACGGGGTTCCGGAGAAGGTTCCGCAGAAGGTTCCAGGAGGCTTTGGTGCAGAGCCAGGTCAGGTTCAACGTGGTTCCGGAGAAGGTTCC